ACACAAATAATCAGGGAAGTATGGATAAAAAGGGTCCCTTCTTACCTTATCTCTTATATCTTATTGCTTTTTGATGCTTATTTTTCTGGGTCTGTAATATTACTGGTTATATATCAGGCACATTTGCTTTAACTTTGACTAATATAATATAGGTTTTAATTTGGATGAAACTAACATAGATAGAATTAGATCATAGATCCCTGAGAATTTTAACTGATATAAGATCGAATTAATCGATTTAAGGAACAATTTTCATAACAAAATAATCGATTAAAACTTCGTATTAATCGATTAAAATCTTTAAAAACTAGCTTATATCAGTAAAATTAAGATTTAATTATGATATTGTTGGATCTATTAGTGAAAAGATAATCAATATAGTTGATATTGTTGCTAAACACCTTTCTAGATAATCAGTTCACAACATATCCACTAAATTAGATATAAGAAATTCGCATCAGATATGTCATAGTTTTCAAATCTGAATGTTTTAATCAATAAAAACATCTTTTAAATCGATTAAATGAATTTATATAACATTTTTCATTAATGTTTTAATCGATTAAAAGTCGAAATAATCGACTAATTGCACTAAAGCTTCATGTTTTCAAATTCTTAAATGTTTTAATCGATTAAACCTTTCTTTCAATCGATTAAAATCATTACCAAGAACATTTTAATCGATTCTGTTATGTTTTTAATCGATTTTTATTCTGGAAAGAAAAATTAAAGGCTTTAGTTAATGGTTGTTCCTGTAACATGCTACTAAAGTGTGATTCCCTTATCTTTACACGTGTTAATTGTATTTCATTACAAACGTGTTAATGAAGATAAGTCTGAATCAACTTTAATTGATCTTTACATGAGTAAAGTATTGATTTCTTTTTATTTTCAAAAACTCAAACTGTTGAAAACCTTTACAGTTCATTATTTCTCTTCTATTCCCTATTTTTTGATGAAGTCAAAAGGGGGAGAAATAGTTGCTTTACTTTAGGATCAATTTAGAGAAATAAATATCACATTAAGGAAGCATCATTTTAGGGGGAGAAATAAGTTTTAGGGGGAGAAATAGGACATTAATAAATTTTTTAATTTCTCACTAATCTGTTTTATCAAGTGACTTCTATTGCAGAGTTTTTTTTTCAAAATGGTGTTTGTCTTCATCAAATAGGGGGAGACTGAAAGTGATGAAGATCTTATTGAAATAATTTGGCAAAGATCTCATTGATTTGATGAAGTCAAAGATAAAGTCAAAAGTCAACTTTGCAACAGTCAACAAGTCGCTCAGATAAAAGAGTTAGAGGATTAGTGTGTGTAACAGAATGCTTAGGTAAAACCACTTTATCTTTTCTACTGCATGAAGTTTCTTCACTTAAATGATTTTGCAAAATGCCTCCAAAATCGTTTTAAACAACTAAAAACAAAGTATTTTTACAAAAGCTTTCTTAAACATGTTTTTAACTGATATAGTTTTGAAAGAACCGATTAAAATCACTTAGAATGTTCAAAGAAGTGTTTTTACAGTATTTTAATCGATACAAATTGCTTTTAATCGATTAAAACCATTTAGAACTCATTATGATCGATCAGAATCATATGTGATTGATCAGATTTGAATTATGAGCGATCAGAACTTTTTCAATCGATTAAAACACGTTTCAATCGATTAAAATCACTTAAAGGGTCAGAATGATCGATCAGAATGCAGTTATGACCGATCAGAGTTGGTTATGATCGATCAGAATTGAATTATGACCGATCAGATCTGTTTCAATCGATTAAAACGCATTTCAACCGATTAAAACAACTTGGAAAAATTTTGTGCAGAGTTTTAATCGATTAAAACCTATGGTTTATCAGTAAAAATAACTTGAAAAGTTTTATAAGAAAGTTTGCAGTATTTCAATCGATTAAAACGCGAAAGAATCGATTGAATTAACTTAGAAGAATTTTTGTAAAGTGTTTTAAGCTGATATAAACGTTGTTGTATCGACTAAAACAAATCAGTTAAAGAATCAAGAACGTATTAATGGATTGAAAGGACTTTTAACAGATTGAAACGGCTATTTCAACAGATTAAAACAAACTTTTAACAAATTAATTAATGCAGCAGTTTTGAAAATACTCTTTAAAAACAGTTTGGCTTGAACTTTTTAAACATACATTGAACATCAGTTTTTACACATCTTTGAGCAATCATTCAAGCAAACCTTAACACTCTTTTCAAGAAAGATTTGCAACAATTTTTTTAAGTTCTTTTGAAAATCTTTCTTGAGGCAACTTGCAGTCTTTAGAAGAAGAAATTCTCTGCAGATTTGGATAAACTGGTTTGAGCTTTCTAGTTTCTTCTTTGTCAATTCTTTTTTCATTCTTTTGTATTGTGTGGTGCCTGGAATTTGGGCACTGGTTTCTCTGCAGCTGGAATTTGGTTGTAGAGGTTATCAAGAACTGGAATTTGGTTCTTGGTGAGAGGTTAGGTGTTGATGCCTGGAATTTGGGCACTGGTTTCTCTGTAGCTGGAATTTGATTGTAGAGGTTATCAAGAACTGGAATTTGGTTCTTGGTGAGAGGTTAGGTGTTGGTGCCTGGAATTTGGGCACTGGTTTCTCTGCAACTGGAATTTGGTTGTAGAGGTTATCAAGAGCTGGAATTTGGTTCTTGGTGGAGAGGTTAAGTGCAGGAACTGGAATTTGGTTCTTGTGATAGATTAGGTGTAAGATTGTTGAATCTGTAAAACATTTAATCTAGTGGAACCCAGCTGGAATTTGGCTGGAGACTGGACGTAGCCCTGGTATTGGGTGAACCAGTATAAAATACCGGTGATATCTTTCTTAACCTTTCTCTCCTTTAAATTCAGTTGCTGCACTTATTTTGATTGATTGCTTTGTGATTCAAGAACAGATCTTTAAACTTAATTTTCGAATTAGATAATCTGTTATTTGCGAAAAAACTTTCAAAGATCAATTCACCCCCTCTTGATCTAAAACTACTTTTCTAACACATTAATGCTCCTATGTTCTTATATCTGAATGCATGTGACACCACTACACAAAATAAAATATGCATATATGAAATTGATTAGGAGTATATAAACCAAATCATAAATCACTCACAATACATTATCAATTGGAATGATTAGAACAAGTATCAGATAATATAGATAGTCATAATTACCAATCATCCCTCTTCTCATATATATTTCAACGATAAATTTAACTTCAAATATATGAAAGGCACTAGTTTACATAAATTAATCAATATGCATATCAATTAATAGATTTCAAGATCAAGTTTATTCTACAACACTTTGAATCTTGAACCTTATATCCTATTAAACTTCAATGTAATAAGTTACAAAAGAACCCTTTAATCTTATTGGTTAATTATAATTTATTATTCCATCTTATTTTACAAAGCACAACTGAAACAAATTAAACCCAAAAATCATAATGAGTACAATTTAAAAGTCAAACAATAGAGACACACAATTTACATAAATAGGATCACAAGATCCTAAAAAGCAAAAACACATAGTAAACAAATTTACAAATTCAAAAAACAATAATAATACTATCATATATATAACAATCGTAGTGAAAAACTTAGGAATTGTCTCAATTGTAATATGTTACCATCGTTAAAAAGATATCTTTTACCAAAATCTTTAATCTTAACTAATTAATTATAATATTTTTATTTCATCACATTATATTTTATTGAGCACAATTAAAAAAAAAAAATTATGGCGAGGACAATCTACTGTAATAAACATACATTAAATCAATTTAGGTTGTGACCATAATACTTAATAAATTAATATATAATAATTTACTATATTGGAAAACAATAATATTACAACCATATATAATATAATATAATCTTATTGAAGATTTAGGTGTCTCTCTCCCCAAAATTCTTCTCTCTTAACTCCACCATACCCAGGCAATATACAATATTTTAAGTGTAAAATTAAAATGAAAAGAGAATAAACATAATATCTATTTATTTACTCATAAGTTATATAAGGTAGGACTTTTACAGATGAAGTTCAATTTACTACTAATTTTATCTTTCAATCACAACCAAAATTATTTTGTTGAAGTACATTAAGTCATTTAATATTTTTCTTCTCTAAATTCAATTAAATAATTTAATTACATGAAATAAATAATTATATTATATTTTTAATTTTGAAAAATAAGGCATTGTAATAAAATCGCTAAAATATCACTTGAAATGATTTTAATGGATTAAAATACTAATTTAATAATTAAAGTAAGATGATTTTTTATTAACCTATTAAAATAAAATTTTAATCAATTAAAATATTATTAATTAGAAATTTATATTTATTAAGAATATATTAAAAGATTAAAAATACAAATTTAATCAATTAAAATTTTGGTTAAACTACCTTATAATCAATTAAAATAATATTGTTCATTTAAACTCATTATTCATAATAATATTTTGACATATTAAACCTACTTTCTTAACGTATTAAAATGATGTAGAAATTCAGATTCAATACACAAACTTTGCATAGTTAAACTAAATAATCACTTACACACACAACACAAATTAATCCGAAAACGTAGTTGATCAATATCTTCATCGTATATCATCCAAAGAAACCAAAATCTGAATCATCAAATTATCTTCAAAGCACACAATACTTCAACACACTTGTTGCATCAATTATCACGATATACTTTACATTACGACCTGCATCATTCTTAGCCAACACTAATGACCTGTGCATAACTTCCATCTCTTGGCATAGTGCGAGTATGAGTGCATGATTTTCTAATGACATTCCTCCATCTTCTATCGATGATAGGTGATGTATACACTGTTAAATTTCAATATGACTTCAATACCCCTCTTGGATCCTAAAAATGAATGGACCAGGTTACACAATCCACCAACCTTATCCTCAGAAGGTTCAAAAATACCTGAAAAAAAAGAAAACAAAATAGAAAGGAAGGCAAGAAAGAGAAATGGCATCAAATTTTCTCTCCACAGCAAACCCCTTCCTACCATCCCCTTCCTCATCATCACTATCCTTTCTAACACCAACCTATGTTTACTACAACTCCATGAAATACACTGTGAAGAGGGAATTAGGTCTCTGCGAAGCAGCCAACCAGCCAGCACCACATTCTGCGATCGTGACAAAAAGAGGCTTGTCCATCAGCTTCATCACCAGCTTTGTGCTTTCATTGGGTCGTAAGAATAATGCAAATGCAGCAATACTAGAAGCAGATGATGATGAAGAACTCTTGGAAAAAGTTAAGCGTGACAGAAAGAAGAGACTTGAGAAGCAAGGTGTGATCAGCTCATCCAAACAAGAAACAGGTTCACTCCTCCACATAACATTATTCTTTGCTTTAACTTTCATTGTTTGATGAATGTGGGAGTCCTATCACTCAAAGTTAGCCATTTAATGGCAATTGGGCATGGTTCATTAGACTGCAACACAAATTTATGTTAATAATTGATAGGTTTCTGCACTCTGAAGAGGCTTTTAGCTCTGTAATTTGTTCCACATCACGTGGATTTCAAACCTCCCACCAATTTGCCCCAAAAGGATTGTTTATGTCATTGTGCGTTCTGTGCCAATCTGATATTCAATGACATTTTTTCTTTCAACATATCAGAAACAGTATTGATGTGCAATTAAATTTATCATTTGGAATAAATTTGAGCATGCACGATGTTAGGATAAATTAATAATTGGTTGAAGAATGTTTCTTTGCTGTTAGAAGGTTTCTGATAGTTAGAGAGTGATGTTATTGAGAACTATTATGGTAGAATGTTTTGGATTATAGGGAGTTAATATTTCGGTTTTTAGAGAGTTAATGCTAGAGTTCTTGCAAGTGTTTAAATACAGAGTTGTAATCCTATTTTCAGTATGACAAAGAATAATAAAAGTGAAGTTTCTAAGAAATTATTTGTTATCAAATTGGTATTAAGAGTTATGATTTTTGAGACGAACTAGGGTTTTCAAAAGAGTGAGATCTAGGGTTGGAGTGTCAGAAAAAGAGTGCGAATGACTAGGCTAACGAGTGTTGCTGCAGTTGTGTCATGACTGATGAAGGATGTCAGCTATGATAAATAGAGTGTCCAAATGAAGACTCTCCTCAAAACCCAAGGTGTTTGGAAGATGGTGGAGGAAGGTTTTGAACAACCAGAGACTACGGAAGAATTGAGATCAATGAACTCCGGGAGTTAGAGAAGAAATATAAGAAAGGCAGTGCAACTCTGTTTTTTATTGTTTCGAGCTGTAGAAGATTTTGACTTTGAGAAGATTGTAGGAGTCACGTTGGCATCCGATGTGTGGGACGAGTTGAAGAAGGAGCACAAGAAAGATGATTGAATCACACGGATTTGACATCAAACACTACAAAGTGAGATGGAGAGCATGGAGATGAAAGGGTCGGATAAAGTTTTCGAATATATCCTGCGTATTGAAAACTTGTTAACAAAATATCCTTTAACAATGTGTGTGCGCAATAGAACAAGTGAAAGACTTGTCCGAGTTTTCAATAAAAGAATTGATGGGATCTCTTGAAGTCTATGAACACCAAGGACACGAGTGTGAAACTACTCTAAACCAAGGAGAAGATGCTCTATTATCAGAATAATAGAAGAAGAGGATATAGTGGGTGGTCTCGAGGTGGGTGATTTGGTCAAAGAGGTCAAGACGGATTCGGTGACTGAGGTGACAAGAAGGAAGAGGGGGCTCAACAAAACTGGTAAGGAAGAGGAGGGCGGTCAATGAACCATCCAAATGTCGATTGTTTCAAGTGTGACAAATATGATTATTATGCTAAGGACTACTGTTCGAAAAAATGCTTTAACCGGGAGGGGGCATTTTCTATTTAACATATCAGAAACAACATTGATGTGCAATTAAATTTATCATTCGGAACAAATTTTGAGCATGCACGAACCTAGATAAACTTAATTCTCTGCTAGTATATGGAATTTAAGATGGAAATGAAATGAAAAGTCGAGTAACATATAACTATAACTAAGAAAGACAAACAAGCTTAATATCTTTAAGATTTTGGAAGATGGTATTATATTATTCTTTTACATGATTGTCTTCTCCTTTTATAAAACCTTAATAATGATATCAAAACAGATTTTATGATTAGATTTCTAATCTGAATTTAATTTTAGATTGAGTAAAAATATAATAGAAGTTATAAACCATTTTTGGAAGATTTAATCAGGTATTTCTATGTTACTAAAATTTAGCTTGCTCTCCCTCCCTGTTGTTACATTTCACTGTTACATTTCACTGTGAATTGCTCTTAGTTTCAGTAGGCTCAGGCTCTATTTGGTAGGCTTGTTTGTAGGCTCAAGCTCAGCATTGGTGAGTAATGTAATAGAAGTAGGATTTCAAAATCTTAAAGAAAAAATGCTCATTTTCTCCTCCCAACCACGGTAATCTCCAGAACGAGGAAAATAACTAATGAGCTTATATTTCCTTCCTACTGATATACAGGATATCTTCAAGAAGTGGTGTACAAGCTAAGCGCAGTTGGGCAAGCACTTGAAAATAATGATCTATCTGCTGCTGGTTCTGTCCTTGGAAAAACCACTGACACAGATTGGGTGCAGAGAGCAAATATAGCCTTCAATAAGGTAAGTTTGAATCACCTCTGAATCTTCAAAAATTTCAGTTATGTTTATAATCTTTTCTATCTTTCTCTCTTTTCTAACTGCCTCTGGAAGTTTAGATGTCTCAGTTTGTAAGTAACCTTTTCAACAGCTAAGTTCCAGTCCTGATGAGAAGACCCAGGTGGACGCCTTCAATTCCTCATTAGCTTCCCTTATTTCATCAGGTATCATGATGTCAAATTCATAATTAGCTCGCTACTCTTGAGTAATACTTTCTATAAATTGTTTTTCAAAGGTTATATAAACTAAAATTATGTTTCATATAACTTAATAGATAACAATTTTATGATGTTGATGAGAGTTCCTTTATGAAGCAGTTTCTAAAAACGATGTTGAGTCCTCCAAAATTGCCTTTGTCTCTTCCGCCACTGCATTTGAGAAGTGGAGTTCCATGTCAGGGCTTGCTGCTCAGCTTAAGGGACTTTGAGGGAAAACCATATAAAACAAATTCATATCATTCTTTGGTCCGGTTACTCAGATTTGTAAATTTCATGTCATTATTTGATGACATGTTTTTGTTCAATTTCCTCACCTAACATAAATGAAAGGCATTTTTAAGTTAATTTTGTGTTATTGGGTTAAATGAATTTTTACTTTCTAATATTTTAAATTTATTCTTTTTATATTCATGAGTTAGACGTAGCTTAAGAATCCAGTTCCATCTGGTTTAAATTTTTAGTAGTATTTTTTAAATAAGTTTAAAATCTGGCTAAATTTAATCTTCTTATTTACTATAGAGTATAATTTTGTATTAGGTTGTCTATTTTCTATTAAATTAAATTAAATAAATATAAGTTATAGAGCAGTTTTCATTTTGAATCAAATTTGATTTTTTTATTAATAGTAATTTTAAGCTTAATAATTAATTTCTTTCACTTTTAATCAAATAGATAATTAATTTTAATCACTATCACTTACACTTAACTATGGTCTAGCAATTACGATATAAGTTTTCTTTTTCAATTAATATAGGTTAAACACAATTTAATATCCTCGTTTTTTTTATGGGAGGCTTTATAAAAAAAGACTTATTATCTAAAATTACGATAGTATCAAAGTAATTAAATTTCCTAGATATTCAAATCTTATTTTTAGATAATTGAATGATATATGAAAAAAAAAATCATCTTATTCAAATTATTATTTTTACATAAAAGGAAATAAATAGTACAATACATTGAATTGTATTTTTTTAAATAGTCTTTTATTACACAACAAAAAATATTTTTGAAAGATTTTTACTTGAATTGTGATCCACTCAAGATAAGAACTCTTTAAGAAAAGAGAAAATTTTAGTCTGTACTAACCTAAATTACTTATAAATTTATTAATATAAAAGACTAAATAAATAACTTATACACTTGTAATTATATAATGAAAATTCATGTAAATAGTTATTTGGTATTCAAATATGATAATTGCATAATCCTAATTACCTAACACTTTAATAAAATATTATGCATTATTCACATTTACTAGGAAGTTGAGAACCAAAAAAAAAGAGCTGTTGCTTATGATATTCATCTACACAAAATTTTCTAGTTGACAAGTTTGAGAAATAACAATTAAATTGGTAAGTAACTATGATGAAAGTTTTAAATTTTAAGATTATCTATAATATAGTCATAAATATGCTTTTATTTGAATATGTAGATGTTGAATTAAAAGATGATAATGGTCAATTAGAGATACACTAGATATTGCTATGAGGTATTTCTATCTTTATGGGGTGGCCATAGATTGTTAAGGAAAAAAGTGTTTAAGGTGACTTTAGATTCTACAAAAGTCTTTTATTTGCAACTAACCATGGTGTGAGTATAAATCATACAATTAAAATATTAATTCTTACTAATACGTGGGATACATGATATGGTACGGTGATAACATATATCATTGTGTATATATATTTTTATTAGCATAAAATTTGTTGTCCACATGTCATCTTTGTGAATTGAAGTTCTACGTTAAATAAAAATAAAATAATTAAATAACATATAAATAAGAAAAAGTCACATATATTATATATTAAAGTTTTTTTAAGAAAAAAAAAGCAATATTTTCTTATATAATTGTTTTGTATTTTATTGATAAACATTTGATTAATATTTTTCTTCACATAAAAATAATATTAGAGTCAATTATTCATTGGATAACTTGATTCAATTTTTTAAAATATTTTTTTTACAGATACTCTTGAGTAAGAAATTTGATTTATTTTTTATATTTAATTAATATTTATTATCAAATATATATGTATATATATATATATATATATATATATAGTTATATAGTTATATTAAAGCTCCATGTATTATTTATACAACTTTAATAGTAAAAAAAAATGGCATTAAACTATAATAAAAATATTTAATGTTATATAGCAATAGGATATATTAGTTAAAACTATTACTAATAAAGAAAATAAGTACTTTGTTGTTTACTTACATTTTAATTGGTTTCTTTCAATATTCCGGGTACAGAGGATTAGATATATGATTGTTTGATATTATGTGGATTTTGAGTTGGTTTATTTCTTGTTGTGATTATTTATATGTTATTTTATAGAAATAAAAGATTTTTGGGAAGAACAAATTAAGTTATGAAAATATTTTTGATTTTTTTAATTATTAAGGACAGTAGATGGTAAGAGATTTTAGAATTGTAAAAATCGTTTGATAGTGAGAGATGATGTCGAATGCACATAATATATCTTTTGTAATTTAAAATTCTTGTATGACCATAATAACTAAGAATATCATGTAAATCGAATAAACAAATGTAATATGGAAAAGGGATTGCAGTCACATTACCCGTTACTTTCTCCATTAAAAAAAAAAGTATTATAGATATGTAAACAACCATTCACATAAAATTATTTTTTATCCTGCCATTAGTTTCTTCTAACCTAACCTAATGAGACAAAGAGGTAATATTCCTCCTAGTATTGTCAATAAAGTGAATCTTATTTCAAAAAAATTTAGAAAGCAATCCAAACCTAACCAAATTATTTTAGGTTTTAATACTCAAATGGCTGAGTGAGAAGTAGCTTGTCTTGTGGAACCCCACTAGTAGTTGAATGGATTGTAACAATCATGCACAATAGTTGATTGAGTTTCATAATTAATCGCTTTCAACTGGTTCAGAAAAGTGACATAATCCAATTCCAAGAAAATTATATGGTAATTCCATATGCAACGTTCTTCGACTAGGACCAAATTACTTGACAAGACGTACACATAAGAGCTAAGGAGTAGGATATTTAGGATCACTGCCTTACATATGATTTATGTTCATTTATATATCTTACAACTTTATGTTTCAACAGCAACTAGAAGCTACACATCTGTCCAATACACCCACGGATGATGGTACATTACATGGCTATGCTCTGTAATTGTATGTTGTTGTTTCAATAAACAATCAGATATATAACATTAACAAAAACTACAGTCATCTTCAAACAGATCTAAAACGGGTCAGAATGAAGAGAGACGCCTACAGCTTATTAATCTACTCCTCGCTCCAGGCTTTGACCTGACCAGTTCAACTCCCATGATTGCCATTCTCGGTCAACTCAGCTTCACCCGTATTTGTTTCATCAAGCTTGTCATGTTCTTCACTACGCACTCTTGTTCCTTCTATTTTCTCAACTTCTTCAAGTCTACTAGTACTTTTGATGTGTTCCTCTTTATTCACTCCTTCCACTTCAACCATTTTGTCAGCAGTAGTGCATGTTTCAGATTTCTCTGGCTCCCCAGATCGAGGATATTCTTTTGTCTCCTCCGGTGGTTGCCTAATCTTTTCTTCACCTTTTCTCAGTGAAACTTTAGAACCCTCAGTTCCTTTGTCAACAACTTCATTTTTCAATGCGTGTAGTTCTCCATCAGCAGCATTGAATTTTTCCTCATCAATACGTACCTCATCATTTTCTCCAGCTTTAGCTTCTCCAGAATCAGCTGATTTGTTGATATTTGTATCCTCCACACTCTTGTCATCCTGATTTTCCTTTACCACATTCCTTTCCTTCTCTTTATCCTCATCATCCTTACCGGTACCATCAGCTGCTTGCATCTCTGTTTCCTTTGTCTCCGCATCTTTTTCTTCCTGGGAAGTTTCTTTTTGTAAAGCTGGTGTTCTTTTACTACGTTTCTTAGGGGTTTCACTTTCTGTTGGAGGAACTGCCTTGGTCTTCTCAATGATTCTTGCAGATCTTCTTGGGGTCTCACCAGTGCCCCAATCAAATTCTGATACAACTGGACCACCAGGGTGTGCTTTCAAGTATTTTTCCAACTGCTTCCTGTTATTGATCTCCTCTCCTGTTGGTGCAGTGAACACAATCTCATTTTTCTTTGGAATCCCGGCTTTCTTTGGGATGAACTGCAATGAAGTACAGCATGTGATTTTTTAATCATCTGACCGGAAAAATCAAGCAACCAAAGATCAATCATAATACAAGATTTTGGTTTAGTTATTGACTTCTTAAAGTAGAACCTTATGTTAAGAATACAGCTTCATTTACTACTTTCACATCACAATTACAACCATTGAGTATGACCCTCCGCACATAGAAAGTTAATGTAACATATAAGACACAAAGGGCAAATCTCCTGAGGAAACCATTGCTTTCTTAGTTTATCAATTTTATATTTATTAAGAGATATGACAACCTCATTTTATTGACATTCATGGTCTTACACAGCTTGATATCAATCCATTATCATTCTATATGTCAATATCCATCCATCATCTTTATATTTCCAAATCATAAAAGTAATTTATTGCCTTCATAGAGGTACAGTCACTCTTCCATGAACTCTGAAGTGATGCCTAGTCAAGCATCATTGGCTCTTGCACGTTAACAGTTTTTATAAGTAAGCACCAAGGAAAGACATGCATGGGACCAAATTAACCATGTCATGTCAGAAGGCTTTTATTTCCCTATTTAGTCTTTCATTAATGGGAAAGGTAAAGTCCATTGAATTATGTGTGACAGGAACTCCGTACTTTATTGCAGTTATACAAAGGATACATCACAATTATAGATATCAAAACCACTCAAAAACCAAGAAAGCAAAAGATAGAACACTTCAAAACTTTAACGGTCTGGTAAAACATGTCAGCCCAAAGGCCCCAAAACTCAATCATTAGATGTCCTCTCTCCTACAACTCCCTCCTTTCTATCATTTGCTTCTAGCCTTTTTGCCCTTCACATCCTCCTTGTCATGTATACAAGGTTGCTACAACCAAAATCCCTCTTCTGTCCCTTACTCCTGTTCGCCAGATAGACAGGCATAACTGTGCATAACGGTGTGGAAAAGATCAAGATGTGATGATATCCAAGGCTTGTCCGATGACCAAGAAACCACAAAAGAAAACACACACACACACATGGACAAGATGCAAACTATTTGTTAATCTTTAATTGCATTAATTAATAATATATAAATAATGTCAAGCAGTAAGTGGTCCCAAAATTTGTCAAACAAAATAAATACATTGAGCTTTTTTAAGTTTACAAAGTATACACATCCCCTCCTCTAATTTTGAAAATTTGATTTTTCAGTAGAGTTGTCAAGATAAGGTTATGCAGACTCTAAAAGCTGTAGGATTTGAAGATTTTTCTAGGAGCGGTAAGGAGGAGAGGTGCCCACATATCATCCAAAGGTAGAGTAAAATGTATATCCTTTTAACAAGTAGGCAAAATTTTATACCACACTTGTTTGTTCCAAAACAAAAGGTAATATTTCAAGTTTACATTTTCATCATAAGTGACTCTTCTGTTTCGATGATTAATTTCTATGAAATGACTAGCTGAACTTTTACTTTCAAGTGCTTGATCTCTTGTCCACTAGATCAATATACATATATATAATAAAATATTATATAGCAATGGTACATATCTCAAGATGACTAAATTAATGGATGAGAGTGTAGATATAAAAGTTCTTAAACAAAATATGCAAGTTGTATGTCAGTAAATAATAAATACATCTTTTTACAGTAAATAATTGCATAATAATTGAGTAGTTATTTTTCCATTTGAAATAATGATGTGCCAATGCAAACTACTCATGTGTTTGGTGTAATAAGAGCTAGAGATCCTAAGCTCTAATAGACTCGACCAATGTGTATGTATGCAGATACATACACACTTATACATAAAGGGTATGGGCATGAGAATTCCTTCCATAATCCCAATGAGTTCCTTGAGTTACCCCTCCCCTTCTCTTTCTTAAAGGGCACGTGTTCACAATACACTTAAACATAAAAGATAAGCCTTAATATTAATACAACGTCAATATATAGTTTTATATGATATCTTCCAATCGTGTTCACATATGATCCCAATAACATTATAGACTACCAAATTGAATCTGGTATTTCACTGCAGATATTAGGGAGATAACATGAGGAGCAAGCTTCTGATTACAGAACACAGTAACAATAAACATACAAGAAACAAATAAGGAAAGAAGGAAGAATACAGATGAGCATCTTAAGTCCCAAATTACTTTCTGAAATATTTTTAGTTCATATCATATAGTTTACATACAAATTCTAAATAATAATAATAATAAAATTACTCAGAATTGATGAAATTGATAATTATAATAAAAAGTCAAAGGTGTCTTAAACAAAACAAACGAGAAACAAAAGTCATATAAGGTTCAAAATAGAAAACATAACCATCAATCAACATCTTCTCAGTCCAATCTTTATCATTTTTACTACTATTACAGCTGTAAATTTTCTTTTCGGAAACTAAAATCTGAAAAATATCCCCTCAAAATATAACTAACTCCTGTTCAGAGGGTATTTTGGAAATCAATACAGAGCTGCTATCCTGTCCACTACAACTGCTACTCAGGCCCCTACTTGGTCAACCACTGCTTCTACATTAAACCACTCTGTTGCCCTACTATAGCATGGCATTTAAAACCTTGAAACAAATTACTCTCCAGTACAGATTCTTCCACCTCCCCCCCAAACCTGCTCATATCTCAACCCCTAATGGCTCGATCACAGCTCTCCATCACCAATGTCCTCACAACAATAGACTATTCTATTAGAATCCTTCCTTTTTTAACTGAATTCTTATTCCCATTTTCTTCTTTCCCAATAGATAAGGATTGGGGGTCAATCTAATGTCGGGCCATCATAAACATTTTAATGACATAGCATATACATCATATTGTAAGAAACATTACAACAGAAATATGGCATACAGCATCTCCAAAAAATTTAAATCTAACCAATCCAATATTTCATTAATAATATAAAGCATTAAAATTAAAATATCAGCGTCAAAATGGCATGCTGAATAATTTATTTTATCAATTTTAGCTGTGAAAAGAAACTCAGATAACTGAGTCACTGTCACACAGCTTGCACAAGATCTTGGAATCATCAATTGTGACTGGCAAATTCTGTAGCCATCTAAGGCACTAAATGTTCTTGATTCATCATAATATTTTTAACTTCTCTCGAGATTCTGATGTGATATATAAAACAAGTCATATTCTGAAACGAATGGCAATATGTAAAAGATATATTGGAAACATAGAAAGATAACCTCACTCACCTTTTGAGCAAGGTTGATAAAATCAAGATCCTACCAGGTTCAAGAGGGTGATGAAAAACTCATAACACGAGGAATGCAGCCCAAATTGTGATATCCTACTTTCCCTGATAAATGATACATATTTTTTAATACTATTATGATTAACTTATTGTATCATATATTATGCATTTTTAGGTTTTGTATTATTAATCAGTTTATTAAATTATATTTTACGCTCTAAACAGTTCATTATATTTTTAATACTATTATTTACTTTATCATTGCTATTCTTTTGTTTATTATATTGTACCTTATGTTATATTTTACATAAAAAAAAAAAAAAAAAAAGAAGAAGGGAAGTTTAATTGGGTTCAAATTGAGGCCCAACAAATCAAACCAGAGAGAGGTAAAACAGAAAAATGTGTGGACTTAATTCCCCCGAAACCCTAGGATCCATCAATTTATCTTCTATGTGGTAGCTAAGTAACAACACTTCTGTGAAAGTGTAAGTGCAACCCTAATTCCCAATGGCAAATGGCAGATGGCAGAACACAGATGTGGGAGTACTGGGACATAAGTAGCGGCAAGAGAGAGGTGAAGAAGACTGTCCAGCGACTGTGGAAATGGAGGAGCAGCTGCAAAGTCCACAAAATGCCATAATTTTTGCCGCAAATGACCACATGACGGCTGTGACAAATTCCTCAGAAGTAGTGGGGGACTGCTCTGCTCCACTGCCACGCGATAGCAGAGCAATTGACTACTAAGAGCCTAACCCATTTTTCTTTCAATTTCCGGGGATTTTCAATCCCATGATCGAGGATGGAATTTGGCAAATCCTACTCCAGCACAATGCATGGCATGAGTTAGCACCGAAGGAGGCTACCGATGCAATTACACAATGTAAACTACAATGGTTTGTGTCCAGTCTAACCAGCTTAAAAGGCTGATCTAGAGTAACACGCAGACTTCCAAAATATTTTCAGTATAACCAGTCATTCAATGTCTTCAAAACAACTAAAGTCAACAACCGTAAGAGTATGAACTGCTGAATTATTTTATGCCCTGTAATTTCACGTAGGATGAACGCAGAAAAAATTCAGAAAATCAGCTGGGTAGTTCATAAAAAAACATAACTTTAAGAAACAGACTCTGAGAATGCAAAATTACGACCTGATACCAAACATGAAATGATTTTAGATATTTTCCAAATTTCTGTAGCTTTTTTTTTTCCTCCTCCTCTTCTTCAAAACCAATTACAATTAATAAATAATTGCAAAAAACATCTAGGAAAACATATACTGATGACTTCATTCCAGCAATTAAACTTAAACACTTTTCCGTCTTTCTGAAAAGCTATTCTACATATTCAATTATCATTATCATCAAGGAATTTATTAGACGATTGGTACACACTTTGATTGTTTCTGGACGGCAAAACAAATAACTAACAACACTAGTCCTGCTAGTAAATACGAATCATTATCCTGCTATAAAACACCTACAGCAGCTAATATGCAGGCTGCCATATTCAAACAAGTTTAATTGAATAAAAACATGTATGCAAGAACAAGAAAACTCAAGACTAGCCGAGTAATAAACCCTTATTACTGGATTGAAGCATACAAAACCAAAGTAAGCGAAAACACATTCACCCATGTCAAAATTTCAGTATAAAGCGTTAGTCCTACAAATAATATATTACCAATTTCGCAATAAAGGTTATAAACGTGTCTACGGATATATTTACATAAGCCCATCAAAACGCATTTCCAGATAGAAAATATTGGGCGAGACAACGGAACCATCACAAACACTTGACATTCGTCCGGGAGATAATTTTTCTAGATGTATTTCATGAGAATTTCGAAGAAAGTTCATCCAGCATGACACAATTCAATACAAACTAGCCAAAGGTTTAAAAAGCCCTAATTTATATATTGTTACCGAGTATTGAAATCAAGACCGGATATGACGATTAAAAAAAAAAAAAAGACCCACACCGACACCAAAGCAAGAAGGTTGGCTCAAAACCAACCAATTAAGTTGACTTAAGCAGCGAATTCCCACGAATAGAAATAGTCAAAGCGAAACAGTGCATAAATAGAAGAAAGAGAAACAGTGCTAAACCTTCTTCTTCCAACCTGGTGGAGCAGGTAGCTCCAAAGTGAAAGTTTCCTCCCTCGCGCCACCCTCCTGTTCCACTGAGCTCGCCATATTTCACCTGCCAAATTCAGCACGAAAAACTTCGCCTTATATAAAAAAAAAATACAAATTAAAGAAAATAATAACACAAGAACACGCAGTTAAACAAAAACGAAATTAACTTTGTTTGTATTGTTACGTGTTTTTAAATGCCGGTGACTCTGCGAGATTGGGAATTGTAATGCTTGGTTTTGTGTTTCTGGTCTTGAAGAGGAGAAGAAAGAATAGAGTAGTTAAGAAGAGAGGGTTCTGAGTTAGGAGACACTGTGGAATCACCAGGAAAAAAAAATGTGGAGAAGCAGTCCATGGTGTGTGTGTGTCTAACACATAGTAGCGTCACGGTGCTCTATCCTCACGCCACGTGTCCTTTCTTCTTCTACTCGCTAGCACTATTTGTACAGGATAATTTTTAATATGATTGTATAATAAATAAATTTTAATATTAAATTGTACATAATTAAATTTATCTTAAAAAATATTTTAAAAATATTTATTATATTTTAAATACATAAATTATATTTTAAATTAATAGTAAACTATTTAAATTATGAAATGAGAAGCCTAATTAAAAAAATATTTTAGAGATGAAGGAAAAACATATAAAAAAAAATGAGGATGGATTAACGTAGATAAAGGGTCAAAAGAAAAAGGAAATAATTAATTTTGGAAAAAAAAAGGTAAAAGGGAGGTATAAAGATAGCAATAAAATTACTCTTTAACTTGAGCTCAAATAGTTTTTAGTTTTGAAGTAATAACATTTAATAATACTTTGTTAATTTTTTTATTATTGATTAAAATTATTTAAATCAATTAAATTGTGTAAAGAAATTATTAAATTAGATGTGAGATTTTTATAAATTTGTAGTTATTAATAAATTTTTAGTTAGTAAAAAATATATTTAAAAGAGTGACATAATGGAAACTATTTCCTTAAATAATTAAAAATTAAAATATTTAAAATATATAACTAGATAATCGAAATATAAATAATTCATATTACTGAGTCGCAATTAATTCAAATAAATAATGAGACTTGATTAGAAATAATAGAATTTATTTGAATCTTAACTCTAATTTTAGTTTTACCTTTAAAAACGTAACTTAGTTCCTTTAATTATATAACTCATAATTTTAAGGTTAAGAAAGATTTCAACCAAAAAATATTATAAACCTTTAAGAACTACCAAAGTTACTCATGTTGTTCTTGTTTACATATATGTCCTTTTTTTATTATGTATCTTAATTACTTTTAGTGATTTTTACTTATTTTACTATATTTTACCAAGAGTTACTTATAAGAGAGTGCATTAAATTTTTTGTTTCTTAATATCTTTACCTTCTATAGATATTTTGTTGCTAATCTTGTTGTATGAAGGTGACAAGTTCAACCAAAACACCTCCATATCCCTTAAGCATGAGAAATTATATGCTAAAATTGAAGAGCTTGCAACGATGGTAACTTAAACACAATATTATGCAAAAGTATGAGTAAAGATTGACTAGAAGGTTTTTAACTCTTTATTATAAAAGTGATCAATCACATGGAAATGAGTTTATTACCTTTAAATCAAAGAGATTATCTCATGACATACATGAAGAGAGACTTTCAAAACATAATGTAAAAATTTTAAAATTTGTAGGGAATAATGATGTTGAATTGTATTTTAAATGGAAGGTAAAAGTAGAGCAAATCTTTAGTGTATATTCTTTTGAGAACAATACCAAGGTTAACCTAGCTATCTTAAGTTTGAAAAGTATGTTTTAATATGGTTGAAACAAGTATAAAAGAAAGTACTTAATGATAAGAGGTTTGTCATAATTATTTGGCATATGACCTTCAAATGTGTATGAGAGAACCATTTTTACCCTCTTATTATAGAAATGAGTTATACAACAAGCTTCAAGGGCTTGTTCGAGGTTGTCAGAGTGTTGAAGAATATCGTAAGGACTTGGAGGTGATCATGACAAAGATATATATTATGGAGGCCACCATGGTAAGGTTTATGAATAATCTTCACAGGGACATTGAAGTGTGAGGCAAATGCAAAAGCATCACTCATTAGAACATCTTATGCATCAAGCTTCCAAGGTGGAGAAACAAATTCATAGGAGAAATGCCTCAAGGGAAACCTACACTACTAATGCATCACACCAAGGATCTTGGAGAGATAACGGTAAAAATCTTGATGAGCATAAGATAAAATCTAATTGTCTTGGTAAATTCTCTTATCTTTATTCTTTTCTTCTTCTCAACCTTCTAAATCTAACTCCTCTATTTCCAAACTTACTTCAAAATTAAATTCAATAAAATATTATAAATGTTAAAGATATGAGCACAGTTTTGAATGATCACCCAAAAGATACGTTACTTAAAAGAAGGGGAAGTATTAAGTGGTCAATCTTCTAACCCTAGTTCTCCTATTTTTACATTATCTTCTTCTTCACAGTGGGGGGAATATTAGTTGTTAGACATGTCTTAGGTCAAGTATCAAAGGAATTTGATGAGATTAAAGGAAAAAAAAAACAAAGGAAAGAAAGTGAATATAAAGAGATGTTTGAAAATAAAAGACAAGAGGTAAAGTTAATTCTAAAGTACTCTAATGAAATTATTGAAAAGGAATTCTTAAAGGAGGATCTGTACAACTTTGATATGTTTATCTATTTCAAATTATGATTCTAACATTTTTTTTAGATTAATAATCAAATAAATTCTTTTGTTTTATTGCCTAAAGATTTTTTTTATATAAAAAAGTAATGGCAAAAACAAAATAGAGAAAAAAAATGAGATAAATGAAGAAGAAATCATGATGATGAACGAAGCCAAGAACCAGCTAGTTCATTGCATATCCAATTTTTGGTTTTTGATTTTGTTCTACCTAATAAGTTCGTTGGTTTAAATAAAAATTGTATGTACTTTCAAGGATATTTCTCATTGCATGATGTTTCTTGTATAGATGATGAGTTTTGTAAACATGTAAAATATAAGTTGAAAATTTTTACTATTTTAATAAGATTACATTTTTATCATTTGATTATTTGATTAGTATATTCATAATGGAGGTTATTTAGTTCTTCATATTTTACATTGGATTAAATTGGTTTTGAATCTTATGATTAGCCATTTGGCTCTATTGTTGTTTGATAATTTTCCTAAGATATTAATAAAGATAAAAAATTTAAGATTGATTTTTTTTTCATGAAGGGGAGTATGATGAATGCATAAATAAGTCTTCAAAATTGGTAGAAAATTTATTTTCAAGATGGGGAGGATAGCAAGGTTATAGATCTAATGAAGAAGAAATCTAAACAATAAAAAGCTATTACAAGAGAAAGAGCTAGAAAAATAAAAAAAAAATGAGATAATTGGAAAACAAGAAAAATAATAAGAGGAATGATTAGAAGATATCATTACAACAAAAATAGTTTTTAATGATATCATTTAACATCGGTTATAAAAGAACATATGTAAAAAAAGGCAATGACAAATTTGTAATTTGAGACAAGTTTTTTACATGGGTTGTATATAACTGATGTAAAAAGTTATATTTATGGTGTTCTCGTGGTCCCATCGTGTTATTTGTTTGTCCTCTTCTACATCCTCACGACCTTCATTAGAAGCAAACCAATATTTGATATAGAGCAAAGAGAGGACATAAAAACGTCAATGAAAAAACTTAAACATTAATAAGCATAAATACATAACATAAGAAATAGAAGATAAGATCATGAAATCACAAAAATATGATTAGGTCACATTATTGTAGCACACTCATGAATAGTTGTTACACCACTCTTTAAAAAATTCATCTATCTTTCAATTTATTTTTCTAAGTACATAAAAGTCATCACATATATAGGTGACAAGAAAATATAATGTTAATTGCAACTATCAAATAATTCATTAAAGACTATCCATCTACTCTCATCAAATGTGTTGAACTCATTTGGTTAGCTAATCTCATAAGATGAGTTGTACTTATCAATTAGCTACTTCCATGACAAGCTACACCCCTTTACCAAACTTAGAAAGTCTCATCATATAAGTAATTCAAGACATATTTTCATCATATAAGTAATTCAAGACATATCTAACAATAGAAAACATAAAAGATAAATATAGAGAATAATGAAAGAATAAAAAATAAGAAATTAGATAGAAAAGAAAAGTAATAAATTATGTATATTATGAAACAATTAAACTTGGATGGCTTTTAAGGTTATAAGGAATGGTTGATTAATTTGTTTAAATTTTTGGATTCAACCCATTATAATATTACTCATAAATACTTTAAAAATACTAGTAATGTAAATAACTTATCTATGGAGATAAATATTCTTTTTTACTATAAAGAATGTAACCAATATTAGTATATTCTCATTTTAATATCCAATAGTGTGAAAAATTTCTTTGTATCCAAGATTTAATGAGTTCAAAGTCAAAGTTATCCTCAAATCGTATAAATAATGGTTTATAAAGAAAAACATAATATTAAAGAGGATTCTCAAGTACATAGGTTATTCATGCTAGAATATTGACAATTGTATTGTTTATTTCTTAGCTATGATTTTTTTTTAAACTAGTAACTTAGACTCATAAATCATCACAACTTATTTCTACTATTATTTTCATTATTATTAAAGAAAGAAGAGTAAGAAAGAAACAAGACTGGGGGAAAGGGTTTGGGCTAGGATTAGGGTGTTAGGTAATTCAAGTGTGAATTTAAATCTCACATCGAGTAAAAATGATAAAGTTGAATAACATATAAGAAATAAAGATTCATAACTCAATGCCTTAAAGTTTTTGGTTGAAGGGGGTGTCAATCCCTTATTTGAGTTGGACTCATGTTTCATTAGTGTTGTTTCTCCCTAGTGAATTCTCCCTTGAAAAAGAGCCAATGATTTGTGTGGTGACCGATAATTTAAGAGTAATCTTGGTATCTAAAGTCTTCCTGACCCTGAGTCGGGTAAGCGTATCTCATGAGGTTGATGTCAATTACTTATATAGATTAGAC